CGCTCACAAGGCAGTGGCAGGTGTACTGCTGGATTTACTGTGCCAGACTCATTAGTCCTCGGGTGATAGAGAAATGAGTGTCCTGTTACTCACAGAGGGGGGCAGCTGGCTGCTGCAAGGCAGCTCAACATCTCTGTCTGTCCCCAGCCAATGTCCTGTATTTGCAGATGCCTCCTTCACAGGACCGCTGCCTTCAGACACAGTCTCACACTGGTTTGAGAGGCACAGCTGTCCCACTGTCTTCTGTGTCTGCTCTGTGTGTGGCTCTGAGCTGCAATGAAGTCCTTGGAAGTAAAGGGACTCCCACCTAACCATGCCTGGCTCATCTGCAGGTTTCACTAAGAACCAAGCTGTAGTCCTCCCACGACAAGGCTAACCTGAGGGCTGCTGGGATCTGGACTGGGAACTTCAAGCCAGATGCTTGTTTTCCTGGGCTCAGAAGTCTTGAAGGTGGCCTCCTCCCAGGATCCATCCTTGGCCTCCTGCAGTGTTTGCAATAGAGCTCACGTGCTAGGACTGCAGACTAGAAATGTGCCATGCTTCTGAAGAAATGTATGTGGACGATGAGTGACAGGTTCAGAGAAGGGTCTTTCCCCTCGGAGGACTGTCCCACAGGGCAGTGACTTCAGGCTACCCTTACTTTTCCTTCTCCAAAGTAGCTGGGGAGGGCTCACTGTTGCTGCTGCACCCTGGAGCTGAGCAAACTGTGGGCTCCTTCATATGCAGATTGAGTGAGAGGGTCTGGAGCCCTGGCCACACTGCTGGCTCCTGTGCAGAGGGAGTTCCAGGGGTGGCTTCAGCCTCCAGGGGCTCCAAGACGTCCACCCAAAAGTTTCCTTGGCAAGGTAGCTCCCACCTGGAGGGAGGGTAGAAGAAAGACAGGACTCTGAGGGACCCTAGTGGGAGGGGGGAGAAAAGAATGACACTAGGGTCTTGTTTGGACAGAGAACCAAGTTCCCCAGCTGGCCTGTAAGATGAAGGCAGGCAGCTGTCTACAGATGGGTCATTGACCCTGTATACAGGAGTCCTTGGCACTGACCCTATTGTCCCTGGCATTGTCACTGACTCTGCAGACCTGGTGCCCAGTATGCTCTCTGGGTCAGGCATGAGTGAAAACATTGGATTTGGGGCTTTTGCTGCATTTCTATTTGTGTGTGTATGAAAAATGTTTATGTGTGTGAAAATGCACCCAGGAGAGTGCATTACATGTACAAGTGTGCAGGTGAGTATACATGTTTGAGTGCATGCAGAGGGTGTGTGAGGGAATGTGATCTGTGATTCTGTGTGAGAGTATGAGACTATGTCTGCATACATGAGCATATGTGCACGTGTATATACCTTTGCGTGGGCCTGATTGTGGCCTGCATTGTGTGCTGTGCACACAAATCTGTAGGTGTTTGTGTGTCTGCCCCTGTGCATGGTACTTGTGCTGCTTTGGGAAGCAGTGTCCACATCTGCTGATGCCCAGGTGACAAGATGACAGAGTCCTAGTCCAGATGGCTCCTGGAGTACTGCACTGCCTCTTGATACATCCCAGGCACCATGGGCATCTTCAGCCTGAGCCAGCACGGGAGCTCCTGGTCATCTGTCCTGATGGAGGATCTAGTGCTACAGGGAAGTGTCCACAAGGGGTCACTGTTGTCACTTCTTCTTCACTGGCCTTCTAAGTGACCAAGTTTGGATGCAGGCAGTGAGTGGTGATATGTTTGTAAAAATACAAGGTGGAGGGATTGCCTTATCTGAGGCAGTTTCCCTGTGTGGACTGATGGACCACTGTGTGAGGCAGGTACAGCCTGCAGGACCTGCAGCCGGGGGCTTGTTTCCCTAGAAAGCACCGCCCCTACCCCGTTGCTGTATCTTGAGCAGGTTCAAGTTCTCTGAACATCCTGGGGGTCCTGTTCTTTCTGGACTTCCCATGCGAACTCCCAGGGAGATGCTTTAAGGCAGAGCCCACATTCTGTTTGTCTAGGCAAGGTCAGCCAGTGGCTCTACAGTGAATGAATGCATGTGGTGTTTACTGTATACAGTATTTTGCAAACCCGAATGCATGTGATAGCCATTGTTTCGTGACTATAAAAGGAAACAAGCTGGGTCCATGCCCCAGCCCGGGTGAATGTGGCTCATTCTTGCTCCTGCCAGGAAATCTGTCCACTGGATATTTGCTGTGTGCTTCTCACCCCGCCGTGATTATTTTCTACATCTGGTCCATCTTCTTTGCAAAGACTTTCTGATCTTTATGACCTCTTGCTCACAAATCGAGAACTTTGCTGTGTGGTTTCTAGGAAGCTGAGGCAGTGCATTTACGTGTGCACCTCTTTCCCTGAGTAAGCTGTTTACGGAGACAGCAAGGAAGCGCGTGCGCTTGGTGGTAACCACGGAAAAGCTGCATTCGGTGTGGGTTTCCCTGAAGAGGTAATGAAGAAATGAAAGCGCACATGATAAGTCAAACACAGGTGAGGATATCACAAAAGGAGACGATCATCGCAGGTGCGCAGAGCACAGCTAGTTCTCTGCAAGTTTTGCCACAGAGAATGTGCAATTAAGATGGGGCCACCATGTCCTGTGAGCTGCCTGTGGCCCAGGCAGAGGCTGATGGTCAACCATCAACTGTGTTCACATGACTTAGTGGCAGGAGGAGGGTCCAGGCCCCAGTGTCCGGGGGATTTTCCCATGGATCTCCGTGTCCAGTAATGCTTAAGTGCATTTCTCAGTGGATGCAGAGTTAGCTCCCACAGTGGTTCTCTTAGGATGTCATTCCATGCAACCTGAGTGTCTTTCCCAAGTGGAGCTGGGCAGAGGCCCTGCTCTCGGGGGATCCCATCTGCACTTCCTGGTGGTTCATTTTGATGATTCCGGGCTATTTGCCGAGAGCCTGGCAACTGAGCAGTCACAGGAGGGAAGGCTCACTGTCTCTGAGCTCCACTGCACCCTTGAGGAAGCCTGGGCAGCAGGGCCCACACGGCTTCCTGGGCAGAGGCCCACTGGGAGTGCCTGTTCTTTGTGTGAAGCTGGGGGTGGAAGAGCTGAGGGAAACCGCGCTCACGTTTATGAGTGGCAGTGACTTTTGCCTGTGGTAATGGTGCTCCAAGGAGTGCTGCTGTCAGCAAACAAAATAATCACTTTGTGTATTCTTTCAGAAAAATCAGCAAAAGTCGGTATTTTTCCTTTTAAATGGGATAAATTAACCCCCCAGTTTTAGATGACTGTTAGTAAAAATGTCTCCAAACAGTTTTTGCCTCTCAACATGTTTAATTATGCTGTCATCAGTTGGTTGGAAGTGGTCGCCTTCCTTCCTGCCTCACCTGCCCCCCTCTTCTGTCTCCAGCACCCATCTGGCCCCTGGGCAGTGGCGCTCTGTCTCTGCTCTGCACAGTAAAAGGTGTGGGCCATTCAAGATCTCAGGGGCCTAGGAACACTGCAGTCCACTGAGATCAGCAAGTTCCAGAGAAGCAGGTGGCCATGGAAGATGGCCCACGGTGCCTCTGTGGGGTTGCAGGTGGTCAAGACCACTGCCATCTACCCACCTCCCCCACCCAAGGCAGTACATCTTCTTGCTTTGGACAGATGCCTTCTACAGATTCTCCCAGAGTATTCCCATCACCCAGGAGGCTCTCCCAAGCCTGTGGGAAGGGCTTGTCCCCTGCAGCTGGCAGAGGCCTGGGGTGGTGGTGTCCTGACGTTTACCTCTCAGAGAGCTCCTAGCCTGTCCAGTTCTCTCTCTAGAGTTCTCTCTAGAGAGTAACATTGTCTGTCTGTGATCATATGTGCCGCTGCCTGTCCTGCTGGGTAGGGACCCAGGGTGTGGGGGGGCACCCATCCTCCACAGGAACCCTCCCTAGGAATGTTCTGCCTTTCTGTGTTCACAGCATCTTTTGCAGTAAGGTTCTGAGACAGGCAGTGTGTTAGGAAAGACCAGCAGAAGGTTTAACTTCTTTGGGGCCTTTCCTGGCCTGCTCTGTGCAGCTGGGCAGTTGTCCTCTGTGTTCTTTGGGTTTGCAAATCCCCATAGAAATCACGGGATGCTTGTAATGCTCAAGGTTGTTGTCTGCTAATCACACAGCACCGTCCATGGTAAGCATATATGTAATATCAGAGAGCAATTATGAGTCAGCCTGGTCCTGGGCAAATGTGTTTCTGCTAATTAAACTTGTTGCATTTGAATGGCTTTTCTTCAACCTCACTGGCAGCGAGGCTGTTTTGAACAATAAAGGAAACCATTCCCCATCCACCGGCCAGGGATCTGCAGATGGCTGCCCTGTGTGGGAGGCACTGGTCCTTGAATTAGTCCTTTGTGTGAACCAAAGAAGGTAATTTGAATGTTTGAACCCCCCCAAAGGAAGCATGTCTCAAAGTGAACAATTTTCTCAATAAAGACTAATTAGGGTCTAAATTAATTAGAGGTGTGGCTGGAAGGATGTGGACAGCAGTCTATTGTTGCAGACAAATGGGAGAGAGCCAAATAAACTGCGGGGTGAGTACCCCACGCTCGCCAGCATCTCCCTGGCCCTGAATCACCCAGAACTCAGCCTCAGCCTCCACGTGGACACACGGTGCATGCTTAACCAATCCTCGTGCTTCTGCAAATTAATATTTATACTTTCTGGGTGTCTGTTTTTCATCTGGAGAACTGGCCCTGAATGTTATTGCCTTTTGTCACTGAGTTGTCAGAAGCAAGTTTCACATCAAAAATGTGATTGCAAAACTGTAAAATGTAGGGGAGGGGCAGAGAGGCAGAGAAAGTAGAATAAAAAATGCAAGCCACACTGGCTTCATACTTCCTTTCCTCGCTGCTGTCACGTTTGTGTTTCCCACGATGGCCCAAGCAAACTCTCACTTCTTGAATGCTCTGAACTCAAGTCACTCTGGTGGATTTCTGAAGCCAGTCCCTGAAGCCTCACAAGGTGTATGGTTACAAGATGTCTCAGGGTATGTGCAGACCTTTCTGCTCTCTGAAAGTGAGATGTCAAATTCTCTCTTTTCTCTGCATCCTCTTCCCACAGATGGAGTGTTTGGAAGGTGCCACAAGATTCCAGTGATGGACACATACCACTATGAAGTGTCACCAGGAGCCCTGCAGCACCTGAAAGTCACCTTGCAGAAGCTCTCCCGCACAGGTAGGGGAGGCTGGATGTGGGCAGAGGCTTTTTTTCCTGAACACCTGGGCTCCGGGCACTGAGGAGCTAGGTGTGGACTTTGTGAGCTGGGTCCTGGTGTCCAGGAGAGGCCTGCTGGGGCCTGCACCAAAGAAAGCTGCCCTTCCAGTGTCTTGTCTCAGGTTAGGAGCCCTGGCTGCTGCTGCAGGAATTATAGGATCTTCCATGTCTCGGGGTGAGGGAGGCCAATCAGTACAGGGACACATGCATGTGAACATAGGGAAGAAACTCAGCCTCAGCTGTCCTTGATGTCCCCTTCAGGTCAAGATGTTCAGGTGGGCTTCATTCCAGCCTGACTCCCATCCTCCTCCTGCAATGTTTATTCTACAGTTAGTTGCAGGAGAATCCTGTCACTAACTAAGAAGATAGTTTTAAAAATTGCAGTAATTTAAGTGTAACATATAATTTTATCACATACATAATTCAGATCGCATGTAATTGTAATTGTGTGCAATTTTTACCCGCGTGGTTTGGTAATGTCGTGCTTCCTCCACCCGGGGCACATATAGCAGTGTCCCAGCACAGAGCAAAAGAGTGGAGCGTGTGGGGCTCATTACCCAGGGAACAAGGCTGGGACGGGACCTGGTGACCCTAAACCCCGGTCTTGAGCCTCCATGCTCCCCTTGGGGCTTGTGCTCTGCTCCATGAACTGTCTGCGGTCAGTGAGCTTCTGGGCCACTCCTCCTCTGTCCTTTTGGATGCTTACAAGTGGATTGGCTTGTTAGAAGCACTGACTTAGGGTAACCGTGGTCTCCAGATCACTGGACCTGCACTGTTCTGCAGGTGCTGACTGTGGGGTTTGTTCAGAGAAGCAGAACCACTAGGAGCCTGGTATGTGAGTCTTAGGGTGCCTCACGTGACTGTGGGAGCTTCTGCAGTGTCTCGGATGCTGAAGCCCTGGGGCAGGCAGTGGTGATAGAAAGGTGGTAGGAAGGGAGGACTACTCATGCTGGAGGCCACAGGTTGGACCGGGTGTATCTCTGCTTGTGGCTTGACCTAGGTGGTGAGGGTGCTGCCACCCTTCCCCAGAAGATGGGGTGGTGTCTCTTTTGTGTTTTTGGTTGATGTTCATCCTAGCCTAGATGATTCCACTACCCCTTTGCTATCCTGTAACATAAATCAGAGACACGAAGTTAACCACACAACATTACAGAAATATTATGCATCTTAGATGGTAAGGAGCTGAGAGAAGGAAGTGAACCAAAGCTGTGACAATCAGAATGGGGAAAAGCCTCAGCCAAAGCTGCTGTTGACACCCCTCCCATGATGCATTCCCTTTGTCTCAGTGAGGAACTCACTTTCCTGTGGCTCCCTGCCTACAAGTGACACAAACCTCCCTTTCTGGGTGTTTGGGCCATCAGCAAGTTGACTTCTTATAATTTTTCATGACCCCAATCACGGGACCAGGTGTGCTGAGAGGCACCGTGTGTTTCTGACATAATTCTCCTCATCCCCTTGTGTAGCAGCTACTGGATCTCCTCTGGCAGCCAGTTACCCCACTGGCACCATGTCCCCCTTTCTGCAGGGTGACTGGGAGGCACAAGGAGCCCATGGTGGCTGGGCAGTATCTTAACTCCAGGTCAATGGAATCTGTGGTACATATCCTCATAGAAATGTTGTTTTCCTCTGGAACGGGCTCTATATACCAATAGAGCATGCGTTCTTAGGGACAGGAAGTGGAAATGTTGCTGGTGGATCCCTCAGGTCATAGTGGATCAGGGGCACCCATTTCTACTCCTTGATTCCTGGACCCAAGAATCCTGACTGTGTATTGGATACTATGTCAGGCTAGAACCTAGTCCTAGCCTGTTAAGTTATTGCGCTTAGTTGCTGTGGTAACTGCATCTTCAAAAGGCCACTCCTTGTTCTCCAAGCCAGGGGCTTCAGGATGGTGGGAACAGGGTACAGCCACTGAATTCTGAATTCCACAAGCACTGGCCCATTGCCACTCTTCTTTGACTGTGAAGTGAGTCCTTGGTCAGAAGTGATACTGTGTGTAATACCACGGTGGAGGGAAAGCAGTGTGGTTGAGCACAGTCATTACTTGTAATGGCAGCAGATCTATATGCAGAGCGAGTGTCCACTCCAGGAAGGACAAACTGCTGCTCTTTCAAGGTGAATGAGGTCTGGTGAAATCCATCTGCCACCAGCTCACTGGCTGGTCACCCAGGGAATGGTGCCATACCAGGGCTCAATGTTGGCATCTGCTGCTCGTAGACCAGGCCCTCGGTATTGCCATCGTCAGGTCAGCCATGGTGAGTGAAATCCACATGCAACCTCCTTTCCTGTCACCATGGTCACTTTGTTCACGAGTCTCCTGACTGGGGAAAGAGGCTGACTGTATCCACAGAATGTGTCATCTACCTTTTTGATTATGAAAGTCCTCTTCTGTTGTGGTCGCTAGTGTCAAACATATCTTTGCACTAAACCTACCCAAAAAAGTCTATCTAGGTAACCAATACATCTCTTCCTTAGACATTTTTGTTACCAGTCTTCCAATCCTGTTTCTCAAGTCTATGACTAACCTGCCACTCAATTAACCAAAGCCTGTTGACCCCATCTGATTTCTCTGTCCAGGGAAAGTGAGCAAGCAGGTACCCTGATCAAGGTGCCACTGCTGAGTTTCCTGTCACCACTGTCCTTCTGGAGTGCCTCCAAAGGGTCACATGTAGTGCTGCAGTGTCCACCTCTGGGGTCCCTGAACGTTACTTACAGCCATCAGAGACCCTGGGTCCTCTGAGTCTATGCAGCCAATGGCAGCTGTGCAACATGGTCATCCAGCGGTGTGGGCAGGGGCATTTTGGCCACTTCCTAGTGCAAATGAGTGCTTTCAGGACCTGTTTCAGCCCAGTTTCTTATCTGTTACTTCTGTTTGATGATAGAGTGTTGAGAGTGTGCTTGGCTTGGTGTTATGGCTTGGTGGTCACATGGCTACTAGCTCATGATAAAGTCAAGTCACTTGGTAACTTGGTGGCCCATGGTCAAATATTCAGTCTTTACTAAGGCCTAGTAGCAGTCAAGGAGTATTTATCCACAGTGAGATGTCATGTGTGTCCTCCAAAATTCCAATGGTTTGTGCTTAGATTCACCCCTAGGGGCCTTTTAGAGGCCCCAGACAGTGTCCCTGTCGTCCACTGATATCCTTTGGCCAACAGGCATCTTATCGGTGAATGTGGAGTGGTTGCTATTTCCAGGTCACTAGGTCTGATGATAGTATCTTGGATGGGCCACAGTGATGTTCTGTGGGAAGAAAAGGGAATTAGGGCCCTGAGACCAGACAATGAGTAGGAAGGAAGAGTCCAGATGCCTATGCTGAGGGACAGTGAAGGTGTACTGCTGACCCTTCAGGTAGAAGCACACTGCTTCTGATGATCTTTCCTACATAAAGAGAGAAGGAAAAAACCAGGTATGTTAACTTGCTCCAGCAGAGAAACCACATCTGGTTGAGTTTATGGTCATCTGCCATCACTCTCCAGGCTCTGTCTGTGTTCTGCAACAGGCCACATAGGCAAGCTGAGTGTGGGGGAATCACCAACCCTGCCCCTTTCAAGTTCTTGATGGTGGTCAGTCTTGTTCCCTGCAGTGTTTCGGTTTTGCTTTTGGTTTATGGTTTTTGTAAGAAAAGGCAGTATGGCCTTTTCTGCCAGAAAGCCCTCACTCTGATGGCAGCCAATAGGTACCAGTTTGGGGATTTTGGCAAATTACTGAGTATATCTGTTCCAACTATGCATTCTAAAATGGGGAAGTAACCACAGGATGGGTTTGGGGACCAGGCCCACTGTGAGATGGACCTGAGCTAAAACTCCAAAGATGACCGGACCTCCACAAGCCCTACTCTGACTGTTTTGGGTCTCCTGGAATCAGCATCAGTTTAGCCAGAATCCAGCAGTCACTGCCAAGTCTGACTGAATCTTTTTCCTATGCACCATCACCGGTGTCAGGCTGAAGATCCTTTGTGGAAGGGAGAGATTAACAGTGCACATCTTTGGCTTGTGTGGCTAGGTCCTTCTGAAGGGACTTGCTCTCCCTTGTCATTCACAGGGCTCTGGGTCTGTGACATAGCCCACGTCTGGGAACTCACTGGGGGCTGGGACACTGGGTGATTCAGGTCAGCCTGTGTTCAATAAACCTAGATCTTCCCTACTGTGTGGATTCATAAGATCTGCCCATCCATTTCACGTCTAGCATCCCAGACTAGCTCAGCAATGCCAAGGGCTCTTCTGATCACTGCTTCATGGAAAGGAAATCTTGTCCACCTTTCCTGTGGCACTTGAGTGTCACTGCTCAGCACTGTCACCCCAGGAGCCCATTGTCCCCACTGCATTCTAGGGGGTCCAGATTTAGAGTGGCAGATGCACTGTAACTCCTTCCCTGCAGAGAGACATCACTGCAGAGCTCTTCAGAGATGATGGGATAACCCATAAGTTTATCCTGTACAGTGGTGCTAGGTCTGTCCTTTGCACACTCCTGGAGTGATTAGGTCTTCATGATAAATCGCTATGCATCTCCAGCTCCCTCAGCCTTTTGACCAAAAAAGGTCTGGATTCTAGCCTCACTTCATGGAGACCACTTTGGGTTCACATCTATGTCAGCCAGCCATGGTCACTGGAGAGCATTTCTATCCCCTCAGTCTAAGCCCTGAATGGAGAATCTGTGCTTAGTGGGCCTGTGTAAATGAACTTGGCCTGCTTTAATTTCCATTCATCCCATCTTGACCTTGCAGTCTTAACACCCACTGCCACACTTACTCCCTAAGTTTCTGCTGGCACAGATTGCCAAAATCCCACAATCCTTTGGATGTGACTTACACTCTCTCCTGGGCCATGAATTCTGCCTCTGGGTAACTGGAACTCAAGTCCAATTGTAGGGCTAGAGTCAAGGGGAGATTGTGGGTGGGTCCTGGGCAGGATCAGCAGGGCCCTACAAGGCATCCACCTCAGGCAGAGGGAGTTATAGACGCT